AACCTCTAATTTAATTGAAGCATGTACTTTTTCGAGTCGTTAGACAGAACCTGAAGAATCTTCAATGGTTTACGGAACGTCATCAGTGGTAGGTTTCGTGACTTATCTTAAATAATCTGTCTAGAAGCAGACCAGAGAGCCATAATATGACATGACAAATGTTATTTGCGACTTCGAGAAACATCGTTCTGTTGTCTTTTCCTCTTTTCGTTTCAAGGGTAGGCGGCACAGCATGATAATTTTCACGTGCCTTTCAAGGATTAACATCTACAGCTGTCCCAGCCTATTGAATGAGCGATAATATCCCCATATTTCGTAATTCGTCAGGCTGCTACTTACGCAAAACAGTGTAGGTAGGTCACTGAGCATTAGCTTCCACTATCTTTTACTCGACCAAATTTCCCTAACCTCCCCTACCTCACCGAGGAGGGAAACAAAATGTTGTAAAAAACGAGGTTATTAGTCGCGAAGGAAGGCAGTAGAAAAGTATCTAAAAAACAATACGGCATGGTTTATGTATACGCCGCGCAATATTATGATTTGTCGCTATAATACAGGTTGTTCTGGCCGTACCGTAAGTGCCTTCTACAATGTAAATCTGATGAAGTTGGGCTGTTGTTTAGGTGGGCTGGTTTTTCTTTGGCACCGTGAGACATATGATTGGCATATATTAGCCTACAGAGCTGTATGACATTTGTCCGTCGCTATAACCTCAGCCCAACCAGTCATTTAGCTTAACCACCGTCACAGTCGTTTTGAATATTGTCTGATCTTCAGGAACTATATCTCACCATTTGATAAAAAGATACGCGAATGCTTATATAGTAGTAGTAAAAAGAGCAGCCCAAATGTCTTATTAGTAATGTCATGAGAAAGTTGTACAACAATGCCTTTAACGAAATAAATGTTTTTCCCATTTTGCCCCTAAGTTCAGGTTTTTCGTCAGTGTGTCAAGGACTGAATTGATTTTGAATTCTAAAAAGAAAAATCCTTATCACTTATCTTGTTGCTTGAGTTTTAATTCAGACTCTTTAGCTGATTTTGGAAGTGAATAAGCTTCCAAACTTTCATCTTCAGTTAGCATTGTAACTATGCGGTTGAACATTGGAACCATGGATTCAACAAATCATAGCCGCATTTACCAAATTTCCATGGTTAGCCATGTCTACTTTATCTCTTTTTCAGTTAGGAAGAGACATTGAAGGGAAGGGCTTTATTGTAGCCACTGATGCGATTCACTGTTTGTCCAGGAATGTCACTGATAGAGCAAATCTGTGATCATGCCCTAATTAGCTAGCCTTCCATTAACTCAGTCGATAGTGGATAGTGCAGTTTTCATTCCGAGACTCTTGTGTGGTATGAGCACCAGCAAATCGGTTTATTTCCTGTATTTAGCATTCCTGGTGAAGTGCTAGGAGGTGGGGAACAGCGGGACTTTGTAACGCTGTTTCAGCATATCACAACTTTGATATTTCGTCAAGAGGCCATACATTTATATTACATCATGTCACCCCAAAAACTTTCCCCTCCGCTTTTCAGGAGTAGTTGATTATTTAAGACACATTGAATTGCAAATTTAATATGGAACTTTTCACTGCTATATTTTAGGAATGCTTGTGTTTTGAATTTGATTCTTCGTCATTATCATCAGCCTTTTTAGGC